GGAAGGAGGCGAAAGACCCTCCGCCCTTCTTCCTCCCCCCTCTCTTCCTGGATTCTATGAATCCTGTAAATTCAAAATTAGTTTTCAGGCAAGCCTGAGCCTCAGTGACTTCCCCGTGAAAGTTTCGTCGAGAAAAATTATCTCGGAAGACATAAAAGATAGAAAGCTGAAATTTTGGAATGCGAATTGACAGAAATGCGCTTGGGCCTCATGTGCGACTCTGCGAAAGTTTTGGTGGAAAAAATTACTATCTCGGGAACCAGGACAACTATGAAGCTGAAATTTCAGGAAGATGTTTTCTGCTTGTGCAGATACCTCACAAACTCAAATTTAGCTCCCAAGTATGCGCAAGTCTTACGTGCGATCACGTGACGGTTCTAAGCGTAAATCATTAGTTCGGGAACCGGAAAACTAGGAGGTTGAAATTTGGAAGGATGTCCCCCATCCATGTTTCAAATTCAGCTTTCGTGTGCTGGCGTGTGATTTTCAGTGGAGAATAGCTCATCTTAGGAGCCAGACAGCATTTCGACTATTTTTCCACGCACGAAAGTAAAAAACAGTCATATTTTCAGCAGGCAAACGTCCGCTGGACGGAAGTGCGCAAAATGCATGATCGTTCCGGCTATTCTAGTGTGCATCGCTATTCATTTGTTTTACTTTGACCAGCGCCCTCTTCACAACAACTCATTCCGCACCATTCAACTGGTAAGATTTTTCCGTCTTCTATGGCTGAGACGGCATCAGTCAGTGATGAATCGCTGTTAATCTAGGGCGAGAAATGCTCACTGACTTAGCAGGGATGCGCATGGCTTTCGTCAGAATTCTCATGTGCAAATTTTCCTACGAAAGCTGTGAAACAAAAGGTACATGTCTCATAGGTATACATTTTTTTTTCATTAAATGCTGAAAACTCTCGCTGCCAAGGCTCAATACTCCCGGCTATTAACACAAAGATCTTATTGAGAATCTACGCAGTGTACAAGTCCACTAAAAAAACTGAATGATTTCGAGAACATTCCAAAATACTCGAACAGTTCTGCGCTAGTTGCATGCTGTTGAGTGGGGAACAACAAGACTAGGCAATGCGAATTGCGAAACGTGGACTGTCCGACACAAAACCAGCGACATCACCATAACTCACAAGCTTATATCAGTGCACTGGACACTGTACATGGAATCCGTATCTCGGCTTCGATGCCACTGCCTTCCGTTGATACTGAGGGTGGCAGAGAAGCGGACGATAATGTCGCCGGTTTGTCGGTGGATATCACTACATCAGTAGCTGATCGTACACCAGCTAACGTGCACTTCTCTTTACGTTTCTCACCTCTTGCGCGTCGTTCCTTCTCAGCGCATTTTGCCGCACTGTCAACCTAAAATATGCTGTTAATACTTCAGTAAAATAGGACATAATCTGGGAATTGCTTCTTCTCTTCCAGAAACTGCTTCCAATATAAATATACAATAAGCAGAAATCGATATTGATCCTGTCATTTATTTATTTATTTGAAAAGAAATCACCTCTAGCGCTTTGGCAACAATATCTTGAATTTTACGCTCCATTTCTTCATCTTCGATTGGATCAGTGGGCTGTTTGTTCGATCCAGAAAGCGGTTTCTTGTTCAAAACACCACCACGTACTTGTCGCTGTCGTGAGCGTTTCATCGGTGTGCTACTTGCAGAAAGGGAAACAGTTGAGGTTTGAGGGGGAGTCCGCCGTCCAAATGCACCTGAAAGCGCATTCTTTAAATACATGCATGTTCTCGAAAATGCTATCCGAAGTAGTGGCTTTTAAACCGTAGCAGTTTAAGCGTTTTTACTCAATAGCGTCTGCACTCTCTATTCGTCCTCATTAACCCCTATGCGGTTCGTTCCACAATACCCTAGCTGTCAAATTTCGAGCCACAAAACCTCTACATTTTAACTCTTCCTTCATATTTTTACTTCTTTTTTCAGTGAATTTCCATTTCTTACTATTTCTACCTGGTGCAGACGAGAAAGCCAAAACGGTGTTATCCTCTGACTGCGGAGATAGAAGGCCATCTTGTGTCGCCGTTCCGAGGTTGCCACTTTCCGTTCCAACTGTATCGCTCTGCAAGTATTCTGTTTCATTATGACCACGTTTTCGTACATTAATATGAATTAACAGAGTAACCTACTAAGGCAGCAGACTGTTGCAGGACACGTGTGCCCTACGATCAAAGGTGTGCCCTTAAATACTGCACAGTATGTGATCGATGTTCCCATCAGAATATACCTAAAATGAACACCCGTATTTTGTGGGTCAGCGTACTGAACAGTGTCCTCAATGACCAGATGTCAGTCTTCAGTATCCCATTACATCCAAGCTGTCAGCCTTACGCTTATAACGTTTCGTTGTTTTGTTTCACCACTTTTCACGTCTTAGTAATCAAGTAGAATCTGCGGTATTTCGGTGAGCAGAAATTTAACATAAGAGAGTAAAAACAACAAATCTATGAAGAGGTACGTTGCACTGAGCGAAAAGTGGACTCAATCCGTCCATAACATTTTCTTCTTATTCACAAGAGTAATGATTTCCCCACGAGTTGCGCAAACCCTTTCCTTTCGTATTGAAAAAAATCAAAATAAAAAAAAAAGGCAATAAGTGGATATAAAAACAGACCTTTTCGACAAGCTGAGCCACTCGATTTAGCAAGCTTTTGTTGTGCGCCGCCAAAGCTTGGAAGTTTTCGGCTAAAATAAGCGAATTTGCAGCGCAAAGCGAGCTTAACAGCTGACTGTTTGCATCTGACAATGCACCAGAATTATTAACACTTTTAGCGGAATCCAACTCATCGCGACGCCGCACTTTTAATTCCAGCTGCTGATTCGACATCTCCAGTGCGGTGATTTCACTTTCTAATGCTGCACATTCCGCCTGAAAATAAAAACGTATTTTGGAAAAATTAATGAACCAAGGATTTTCTGAATTTTGTCACCAAGTGATCGGATATATGCCACAGGCAAAAACCGGACATTGAGCCTCAAGTGACCAGAAAGATGCGTCTCCTCTAGAACAAGTCTCAAAAATCCAAACGCTCTCCACGGAACATATGCTGAGATTATGCAATAAAGAAAGCACTGCCATAATGAGTCCTGTTTCAGCAAAATGAATTAGTTACTGAGAATCCAGTGTTAATGATTATGCTGAGAAGATCCCACAAATTGAACTCAGGCTTCTCAGCATCTGCGGCAGGTCCTTCGGTCCTGAGATGTATACTGTCGATCAATACCCACTGATTATTCAGAGCACATGCGGCACATACGTCGCCTCTTTGAAGGCCACTCGCCTGATCGCTTACTTTCATGTTGATATTTCCCGCTTATAGGCTATTTTCCATTTTCGGTTAAAAGCAAAAAGAGAAACATATCCTGTTCATCGCGCAGAGGAAGGTAAAATGCTACAACAAACAAAATTTTCGTACTTTAAGAAAGTCATTCAGTTGTTCCTTATTTGTTCCTCTGCCGCACTCTCTGCCTACAAATGCAACTGATATATTGTGGTGCAATCGGTGTATTGTGACGCAACTGTGCCTTCTGTCACACTCATTTAATAATAGCTTCTCACAGAAACTGTCGTAATCTTCTATTGTCCTTCCTGCGCTTCTTAAAAAGCTTGTACTTGAAACCCGTACTTCTCACCGCCATTCCTCCTGTCAAAATACAAGAAATTCTTGGCTCTGATAATTCTTGGGTTTTTCTGATAACGTTTGCAACTGTAACAGTTCCGCATTTACTGCATTTAACGAAAAGGTTACAGCTTGCATCAGTGTCATTCGCACCGGTTGTCCCAATTCCCTCGCTTAAAACTTGTAGAAGGTTGAGGACGAACTGCCATTTTTCTTGCGAACAGATTTTTCTGCAAATTCGTTCTTTCTTCTGGAAATTGACTCTAACCTGACTCTCGCGAGGCGACGGTCATAGTGTTCAGAAATACTGATCCTGAAACGGCGGATGTAACCAGCCTTTGATAATCTACGCGGATATAATCGGTTTTATTCTGAGAAATGCTCGACGCTTGCTGAGGCCAGTGCCTTGAAAACTAAGAAAAACAAGAATACCAAGACCGTTTATTGAGGATATTCCAAGTTAGTGATACTGAACGGAATGCTCCCACATGCCTGGCCCGTCCATCCTGGACTACATATTTCCAGTCCAGTCTGTCGTTATTCTCCAAATGACCTCCCCAATCCAACTTCCGAAATGGCATCTCGAAAGAGGCCGTAAAAAGCTTAAGTGATATGAAACCTCCTTGCCTTCCCCCCCCCCCCTTTTATCGATATATGAGCTGGAGTGGAGGATACTGTAGTATGTCTGTCGAGCAGCATCTCTCTTTTTTAAAGCCACTGAATTATGCATAACGTTGAGCATTCGATGAAATCCATAAATCCAGGTCCTATTGTTTTTAGTTTACCCAGACAGTTCGACAAGTTCATATCGATCTGTATTTCCAATTTTGGCAACGAAATCAAACAGTAACCACAGTGTATGTTGTCTTCTGCTGCTATGTTGCACTGACTTTCTCAGCAGCCGTCTCAAATATCCTGCTCTTTGGTCATTGAAGTGGATGCCCAAGCTGCTACGATCTTTGTAGATTTCCAGTTGATGCGAACAAGAAAAATCCTAATTCGTCCAGTTCGTTATTTTCTGCGATCGCGTAATGTTCTGATAGCTCCACGTTCCCTTTTGTGCTTAGCTTTATTGGCAGCTAAGACATAAAGGCCAATGTTCTGGAGTTCGTGGAGCAAAAAATCCAGTGCCTGTTGAGTATTTGGATACTGGACAATACACAAAATTTAGGAAGTCGCTGCGCCCACTGCGGCTTCAATTTGGCTGACCTGCTGGTGGATCTGAAATCCAACCGGGTTTTCGACCTTTTCTTTTTCTCCTTTGGGGAATAAAATGTGGAAAGAAAATGTCACCGTACTTCAAAAAATACGCTAATCCTTCTTTAGCAAAACTAAATTCCACCAAAAAAGACAAAACGAACAGTGATTTTTTTGTGATGTGCGACGATTTCTTTGGCATTCTCCAGCAACAGGCTCGGTGTAGATGCTTCGATACCCAGTTCTTCAATTCGAGCATAAAAGCAATTCATAGCAGAGGCGCGTAAACTTGTTATTTGCTTTACCACTGCGTCTATTCGACATCGCAACAGTGCCTGATGCGACTGAAACTCAAATTAATCAGCACGGATCAGTGCAAAGCATAGGCTCAGCAAAAATTCATTTAAACCATCATTTCGAACTTACCAAATGCAGCGATCAAAACAGATAACGGGCTCACCTTTTGTCCCTCAATCTGAGCTTTTATTGCATCGGCAACATTACCGGTCTTCATCTTTTCGACTTCCGCCTCGAACAAAATACGCAATGATTCTGAAATAAACGTAGCTGGGGCGGCTCATAATTCACTACAAATCCAATATGCATTTCACATGTAAAATACATGTGGCGAAACTGCTCTGAGTACTGATGATAATAAAAAACTACTCGAAATATCAGCAAAGTGAAAGCAATGTTCCAATTACAATTATAAGATACTTAGAAAGGGCACAAAGAGAAAGGCATGGCATGAAAGCCGACTTCGTTCAGGAGCAAAAAAAAAATGGACTAAGTTAACTGCTACCACATACTTAAGACCGTGCTCAAACCGTATAAAATCGAGCGGCTAAAAAAACTAATAAACTGATCTTAATTTCACATAAGAGCAATTACCAAGCATTTGGTTCAGGGCTGGATATTTGCTTTGCTTCAGCAACGACACAGGCTTGTTTTCCACCGGCGAAACATTACTCCTAACTTCTTCCTCTTCCTCCTCCTCATCCTCTTTCACTGTTCGCTCCGGACGGGTTATATCAGTGACAACGAGCGATGGATCATGTACCGGAGGCGGTGCCGGATGTGTTGTTGCCGTACGTGTCATGCGATGCATCAGATCGATCGTTTCTCGCGTATCTTCATCAGCAAGCACCTGAAAACCGACAAAAATAACCAA